TCATTATAAATGTCGTTTTGACTTTTTTGATTCATCCATTTTGTTATGTATACATAACAAAATGGATGAATCAAAAAAGTCAAAACGACATTTATAATGAATAGGAGGTAGTAAATTATTTCTGAAAATAATTGTGTCATTGCTAAGAGCAAAAGGCTATCTTTTCATAATTCCGAAAAAGAGGGTATAATGAGTTAATGATTTTATTGTGAAGCTCTCGACTCAATGACTTGTTTCTTTAATAGCATTTATTAATTTATGATTTGAAACTACTCTCGTAGTTTGCTTCTTAATTAATTGCAAATAAACTAGTATAATATAATGTAATTTGCTACTTAATTAATTGTAAATTAATCAGTATTAGTACGACGTCCGTGAACTACACGACTATTTCATAAAAAAAAAAAAACTAATTATCCGATAAAAATAAAAAATAATTGAAATTCATATTGTGAAGTAAAAAAAGCTATAAATGATTATTAAGAAAATATTTTAATATTATTTTGAATTCTAAAAAGTATTTCTATGAAGTAATTTGTTCTATTCCATGTATATTCATTTTTATCAAAATTTAATAGAACAATTATTCGACACTTACTATAGCGCTCGTGAACAACACGGGTGCTTGAAAATTAAGTATTTTATCAAAATAAATAAGTGAAGAAATAGATATTTAGAACGATTAAAAAATTAAATATATAATTAATAAATAAATAAATAATAAATTTTATTATTTAAAATAATACACATTTTTTTTTACTCAATTTATCAAATGATAATTCTTTTTAATCCCACACACACACACACACACATATATATTATTTACAACTCAATAATTTGATTTGAATTAATTATTTTTTTTCAATTTTGATTATATTATAAATTTTATATTGTATACATTTTTCTTCCCTCATCTAATATTTCTTAAAATAACTTCGACTTTATAATAATCAATAATTTTAAATATTATGTGTATGAGATTAAACTTTATGAAATATAATAATTATTTTCATTATTCTAATTATAATATGCATTATCTATGTATTTTTTATTTAGGTTGGGACATAAACTTTTAGAATATTTTTTTTTTCTTAATTTGATTTTTATTTTTTTGATTCAGATTGATAAATAAATTTAAATTTTATTCTTAAGGATAAATATCATTTTTTTGTATTATATATATATAATATAATAATATGGATGTCAAATCGAAGATCGTTACAAAATAATTAATTTGAGATATCATATATGAAAAATAAAATACAAACAAAAATGTTATAAAATCTATATATATATTAAAAACCAACCTATTTACCAAAAATAGTAGCAAGAAAAGTCAACACACATTTAATGCATACTTTATTTGGAAATCTATATCTATACTTATATTAAAAGGAAACCTATTTACTAAATATAGTAGGAAGAAAAGTCAACTTTAATTAATGAACTTCTAATTTTATCAAGTAGTAATTAATGCATTTATATTTTTAATCAAGTTTCCTATTTTACATATTGTTTTTAATCATTTTTATCTTCACATAAAAAAATCCCATAAAATGGGGTGAGCAAAAACAATCAAAATTCTGTTTCTAAAACTACAAATCAATATTACGATTTTGAATAATACACTAACAAATTATAATTCATATCTATATAAAAAGAATTACCATTTACCAAAAATAGTAGCAAAAATTTAGGAAACATTTAATGCATATTATTTTTAGAAATTTTTCAAAAATATGTATTAATTGCTTCTATTTACACGTTTTCAAATAAAATAAAATAACATATGATCAAATAATTACTTAAACAAATTTATTAATATCTACAGCATTTTCATTAATTTATTATAATAAATTACAAGATTGATTTTCGTGATTCATGTTTATAATATTTTGGTCAAGATAAATATTATTTTATTGATATTTGTAATACTTTCATTGATATTCATTATAATAAATTACAAGATTGATTTCTGTGATCTATGTTGTTAATATTTTGGTCCAGATAATATTACACCATATTTTAATTTCTAACCATAATATTAGTTTTTTTTTCAACAAATATTCACTTTTTATCCAAAAATATTTATGGAAAATCGTAACAGGTTAGATAGAATTTTTTTTTAAGTAATCAGATAAAATCAAGTTGGTGAATTAATCTTTGCCAATATATTTGTTTCTTAAGCTTTATTTTGTTAAATATAAAAAATAAATCATTCTTCAAATTAATATAATTTACCATTTAAGATATAATGACCAGATACACTAAATAGTTTTACTAATAGTAAAAAAATTAAAATAGAAACATATTAAATAGTTTTCATTTTTTTATTCTAATTTATTTCTATAACTAAATTCTTGTAAAATATATTTTCATTGCTGAGTACGCTAAATAAATCATAAATCCTTATAATGCGAATTAGAAAAATCTTGATTATAGAGGGGATCGAGATTTTGGGATTTTCTAAATCAAAGTTGTTTAATTAGTATACAAAATTAAATTCTAAATAAATATGTGTATATTTTGTAAAATATTTATATACTATTTAATATTAAATTTATTTACATATTTTAAATTGATTACATAAATAAATAATACCACCGTGCATTAAATATTTTTCATTACATAAAATAAAAATAAAAAGAAGACGTACCACTTCTACAACTTTATAAATAATAATGACATTATATGACATAAAGTGTATAATAAAATAATAATTAAATATTATATGGTAAACAAGAATAAGTAAAATTGTTATTCTCTTTTATATCAAGGAATAAATATATATACTAAAATCAAATTTAAATTAAGATAAATGTGTTAGTGAAATAATATATTAATTATTTTAATATTTTGACTAAATAAATAACGTTGATTAACAGAGGTGCAAAATATATTATAACCTTATTGTTTATTATATTTAACGTTGATTAAAAGAGATGAAAAATAGATGATAATCATATTGCTTTATATACTTAAACGGACAAAACATATGAAAATAACTCATTTAATATTTCTGTCCCGTGCATCGCACGGGGTGCGTACTAGTATATTTTTATAAAACTTATAAAAAACTATTAAAAAAACTTGGTTCGTATATTTGTGTGGATATTTATATTTTTTTAATATTATCTTTGTGTTAAAAAAAAAACTATTTAACACTATTATTTTTTATTATATAATAAAATAATAATTAAATATTATATGATGAACAAGAATAAATAAAACTGTTACTTTTTTCTTATATCAAGGGATAAATTTATATACTGAACTTAAAGTTTCATTAGTATAAATATTTTAGTGAGATAATATATTAATTATTTTACAAGCTAGCCCTAATATACACATATTTAAGTTATGGCTAAAAAACAATGCTGGTTAAAAAATATGAAAAAAAAAACATATAATCTTATTATTTTTTAGACTTAATGTTGATTAAAAGAGGTAGAAAATAGATAATAACACTATTACTTTTAAGATTTAAACGGACAAGGATGTTAAAATAATTCATTTAATATCTATGTTCCGTGCATCGCACGGGGTGCGTACTAGTATATATTAAAAGCCAAACTATTTACCAAAAATAGTAGCAAAAAAAGTCAACACACATTTAATGCATACTTTATTTGGAAATTTTTTACTATATGCATTAAATGCTTGCATATTTACATTTACTATCCTAATATCATCTTCAAGATTTTTTCCTTTAATAATTTATGCAATGATTTTACTGATATCCATTATAATTAATATTTGTCGAGTAATATTTTTTAACATTTATATAATTATATAACACTAATATTTTTTTAAAAAATAATATTATTTATTATTTAAAAGATAATGATCACATCATTAAATGATTTTATTGATGGTTAGATAATAAAATTATAGTTATTCTTTAAAATTTCGACATGTTACTTATTTGTATATTATTGTCGACTGTAAATTTTATAATAAAATAACATTTGATTTATTATATGTATCACGTGCATCGCACGGGATATGCACTGATAAATGACCTTAAAATTGTGCACCCCGTACATCACCCGGGTTCACATTTTGGCCTATTACAGGTCACGTACTATATATATCCCGTACATTTTTTTTTATTCATTTACATAATTATAAGAATGTATAAATGACCTTAAAAATTGTGCACCCCGTGCATCGCACGGGCTCTGTACTAGTTTTATAAAATAAGAAGAAGAAACATTTATAATAATCGATGTATGAGTTAAATAAGAAAATGAAATGTAATATGTGGTAAGTAGGAAAATGAAACATAAAGTAGTTATGGTAACTATGTGTAGAAGTAAAGAAGGAAATTATGAATAATGGATTTAATATGAAAAATATAGACATTAAATGAAACTTGAGGCTAATTATTTTTTTATACAAAATATTAAATTTATATCTAAATTTGACTCCGAAGCATGATTTTTTGACACATAAGATTTCAAAACGTGAGAGTCTGCTACTTAAGCTCAACGCATTCTGAAATTATATATAGCGGATAACATGATGAGGAGTGAAAGACACAAGATAATTTGAAATAATTGTTTGGTTAGTATTGTTGTCTTAAAAGAATAACATAGTGGTGCAAGCTTCCAACAGAAGAATAACACAAAAAGGGAGAGTAACATAACTTAAATGGGAACAAAAAACACAACACCAACAATACACAACTAAACACTCACCTAAACACAATAACATAAGAATAAAGCAACCAAAAACATGACGCCCTCCCCTTTAGCCGACCAACACCCGGGACCTCCGCCACCGAAACGACTCCAAAGTGGGAAACAGAAGAGTCTCCGGATCTCAGCCCAAACACCCGGGTCGAGAGACTCTCCCTACGACTAACTCGACCCGGACTGACGGACATGCTTCCCCCGAAACACCGCAATAGACAACTCCGAGGGACCGAAGCCAAAACCGCCCACCCCACCACTTCAAACGACACTTGCAACCCATAGACCACCGACACAGAAAGAAAATAAAAAAGGCATTAGCCCCAATCTCCAGCCAATAGTTGCACGCAACCACAAGCCCAAGACCCGTGCCCTGCCCGTGAGCCAGAAACCACCACCACTGCCGCCATGGCATCCATGAAATTGGATGACGCCCACTCGACAACAGCGATCGCTAGCTTGCCAGAGGAGCAATCTAACCGGAGCCAACAAGGAGTCGATGTTCAAAGACGAGCCCCTGAGCCAGACCTTCGCCCAAGTGCAAGCCCTACCACTCTTTTCACCAAGCCGTGGTGACGGCTAACAAGACCCACCCATTGAGCCAAATCTGACCACAAAACCGCGTCCCGATGACCCCCGACCCCAACCTCACCACAAAGCCGACAAAACCCCTTAAAACCCCTTACTTTTCAACTTACAACATCAATCATATTTAATTATTGTAATAAAAATTATTTCGTACCGCTTCCATTTTTTGTAAGTGCAAGACTTAGAAAATTCTAAAAAACATTATATGGTGAATAAAAAATTAATTCTAAGATGTTATGTGGGAAATGTAATGTTGAAACAATAAGTTTAAGTAACTCAATTGATTGGATTTGCAAAACATTATGTCTTTGAAGAATGTATAAATAATCCAAACGAGAGTTGATCATGAATCTTGCATGATATAGCTCTATAAGGGTTCGTTATAGACGAGTAGAAAGAAAGGGAACTCGATTTTGAGTCTGAATGAGCTCATACGAGCTCGCGGCGTATTGGCGCGCAGCTGGCTGCGGACACCAAAATGTCACAACCCTTTGTGGCTATAAGGTGTCTTTTGACCTCTAGATGCGTCCGTTCTCATTTGGTTGCGTCCCAAAAAGTGTCTTTTGACACTTAAACTTCTTGGAAGTGTTTTCCTACATCTATAAATACCCACATACATGAAACCATTCATAATATGAAATTTATAGAGCTCTTGCATTACTTTTCAAATATCATATAGCATATTGTGTTCTTTGATTTTTTCATTGACTCTTGACAGTTCCAAATAATAGTAGTGTTCACCGAAGACTTGTATATTTGAAGTACTGCTATATACAAGTCGAAAGTCGTTTTATCTTGGAGGCGTTTGCTATTAACCGTGACTATCTTACGAGGCAATTTCGTCTAAGGAGAACGTAATTATTACGTGTCTCGACTTTGATTTTTGTTTTGTTTTACCATTTTTCTTCTGATTTCTTAAGCTATTTTCTTGAAATTCACATACCAAATATAAACTACAATTATAACCTTCGTATGACTATTGCTTATGAAATATGCAGCAAATGGATTCTTTATCTCGTCCATCGTCGCGTCCCACCATAAATCACCCCTATGTTGCCTCTCGCGACTGCCTAGGTCGGGGTCAACCAAAAGAATAATTAAACTGTCTTATCCACAAGCTTATCCATTTCTTTTATAAAGTCATCGAGATATGAAGTAACTTAAAACAAATTCAATTTTAAAATAAATTAAATAATATAAAAATAAAATTAATTAGCTATTACTCCTAGAAATTGAAAATAAATTTAACCTTTGATATTCATTCCAATTATATGGTTCATCTTGAGAAAAAGAAGGAAGTAAAAAGAACTAAGTTGAAAATAAATTTAACCTTATCATAACATTAATTCCAATTAGATGGCTACATTTTTTTTTATAAAACAATGATAGTAGCGTAAATTCATTTCCATATTGTAGAAAATTTTGTCATAGATCATCATGTACTATAGAGAAATAAAGTAATCACATGCAATTTACCGGAATAAGTTTTATGTGAACGTCTTTTAGTCATAACTAGTTGTGGCCGGTGCGATGTAGGGGATAATATATTTTTCAAACTTTTTTTAATATTGAATATTAAATTTAATAGACTTGGTATATATGTAACAAATATAAACATGTCGAATAAAAAATTCATAGATTATTAAACACTTCTTAATAAAAACACGTGTTGGTTTGATTTGGTAGCGAGTCATTGTCACGACAAAATAATAATTTAAATAATTTTAGAATATAGATTAAAAATAATAAATAAAAAATAACAAAAAAATAATATTTACCTCTTCATCATTGCAATTGATTATATGGTATTTTGTATCCAATTATTCTTATTTTTGCAATATATTTTATTTAGTCTCCTTACATCAATTCTGTGATAAAGAGCAAAATAAATCACTTTATTTTTGCATCCTATTAATGCCTCTTTACCCCAATTTTGCGATAAAGTTCAAAAATAATAGTACTAATATGATATTACATAAACTCTCCAGAGCCTTCCGTCGCTTTCTTCTCCAATCCTTATCTCTGAATATTTTCCTGACGCCTTCCCCAGTAGGGCACGTCGAGTGCTCAACGGTGGCTCTTCTGGGCCCTGCAAATCGCCACTGAGAGATACGCTGCTGGAGGGCTTTTTCGTCGGGGAGAAGATGGTGATGTCCTCCAGTTATTAGCCTCTGGCGCCGGAAATGAGTGGCGGATGCTTTGTTCTCCTCCAATATCTCCGCTGCGACGGCCTCCGGCACTCTCTTGGAGCGAGTTGCGACCCCAAATTCCCGATTAGGGTTTGGGGTGGAGTTAGGATTCTTACCAATTGGCTTCTCCTGGTCCTGGTTCAGAGCTCGATAGTCAGCGATTGGAAGGTGGGTGTTGATCCTTGGCCTCGTGGTCGCCGATCAGGTGGGTGTGAAGCTTCAGAGTGGCTAGACATCTGAGCTGGTTGGGCTGGTTTGGGATTGGCTGGGCTGGGCTTCTTCGGGCTGGTTCGGGCTAGTTTGAGTTGTTGGGTTTTATTGGGTCGGGTTGGACTGTTTGGCCAGGTGTCCTTGTCTCCGGGTGTCGGTGGGGTTGTTCGTCTGGACGAAGGTACGGTCTGTTGGTTCTTGATTCAGTGAGGCGTTCTCTTGCAATTTCGGGGTCAGGATCCTGGACCGAGACTTGGCCGTTGTTGTGCTCGATGTGGTTTTTCGCTGTGGGAAGGGCTCCAGTTTATTTTTATGTTGTTATTTTGGTAGGTCTTTGTTTTTGCTTTTAGTGTTGTTTAGGATTGTGTTTTTGGTTTGAGCGTTGGCCCTGGTTAGCCCGAGTGTCACTTTATTCTCCTGTCGGGAGCCGACACTCGGGTATTACTCTGTTGGGGTCTTTTTAGTTTAGTAGTTTTTGTGTGTTAGTGAGTATTATCCCGTTGGGGTAGGCTCTAGGCAGTCTTCGACTGTTCTCCCACTTTATTCGGCTGTTGGCTGTTCATATTAAACTGTTAGCTATTTGTATTCATCCCGTGACTGTTTTTTGTACATTTGTTCGGTTATATAATATCTCTATCGTTTCGAAAAAAATATGATATTACACATATATAAATTATATATCTAGATTATATATATGTATAGAAGTGTGCACAAATAAGAATGAAACACAATGAGAAATAAGAATGATTTAGGACCATTGGATCCATCACATTAATGATCATGATTAGTCTACTTTTAATAAATATCAGTCAAACATGTGGTGGCTATATTGTAAATAGATGGACATATCATGACCAAATTTATACATTTAACGATTCAATAAGGGTAAATTGGTATTTAAACACTTACATTTCTCTCACACATAAACACACACCCACCCAACACACATTCCCATCAGCCGTCACCCCCATACCTTTCCTGCCGGTGAGAATCAATCCTCGCCACCAATCACCGCCGCCGCCGCCTGCCACCACCTGGCTACCACCAGAGACGGCCACAACACAATCAGATACGACTACGACACACCACCACAGTCTGCCGCACCAGCCCCGCCGCGCCTCCGCTGTCCTCCATCGATAAGGTTCCGTCTGAAAAGTCGTCATCGACGCAGCTGGTTGAGCCGTGAATTCAGCCTATGCTCGGTCTGGTGCCGTCGAGATGGTTGCGGTATTCTCTGACGAGAAATAGTCGAATGACCTTCACGCTTCTATTCCCGACGCCGCCTCAGCCACTAAATCCACCGGCCAGTCGAGCTCAACGACGGACTTCACGGCGAGGGCCACCAGGTCGTCCACAAATGGGCGATTCTGAAATTGTCAACAATAGAGAATAATTCGTTTGAAGCAGCACATGAATAAGAGGTGCCGGCGAATAAATCTTGGGAGGTGAGGGTGCAGGTAGCGGCGGCCGGAAGGGATTGACGGGAATAATGTGTTGGGGATGAGGGGAGTCGATGGATTTGCTGGGGTATCAACAACAAGGGTAGCGGACAATAATACGCCTCCAACAAATATGACAAGCACTACTCTAAAATAAGATCAAATGTTCAGTCTGGTATGTGTGGTTGAGTAAAGATGAGGATTTGCCGGTGAGTTGGCCAGAGCCGTCGCTAGTGCCTATCGCACGTAGCTACGGGCGGCCGTGAGTCATGATCTTGTGAATTTAGTACAAGTCATGTTATTCAGCGTGTTTAAGTCCTAAACTGCTTCAGATTAATGCTCGTATTTAGTTATTCTGAAGTTGTTAGTTGATTAGTTGCTTCGGCCGAGAGGCGGCACATAGCCGTCGGCGGCGCACGGGTGTTCGCCGCGGCCATTCATGTTCAGTATGCGTATGCTATATCTTCAGGTCCTATTTGATTTATATTTCATGTGAGACATGTTAAATTTCAATGATGTTCAGTATTGGGCGAGGGTTGGCCGAAGGCCGTAGGCCTCGCACATAGCGAGTGCGCCACGGCCGAGTGTTCGGTTCGACAAGTTAATTCAGCCATTTCCTGTCAAACTCAGTTTAGTATGCATGTTAGGTCAGAACATGTTAATATAAGTCAGTTTGGTCGATCAAGTTATCCGGACGGTCGGCAAGGAGTCGACCGTGGCCACGCCGCCGCACACAGCGGCAGAAGCGCCTCGGCCAGTGCCCAGCGTGCCAGACAGCGCGCGCCAGTGCAACGACGTGCGACTGTCT